GGAGTGTATATATATAAGCTAAAAAATAAATAATTATAAGAATTATATCATTTGAAAAATAAGGAATAGATAATATTACAGATATATATTGCGGATATTATTTTATATGTTGGATTTAGTTATGAATTTATGATTATATTATGCTAATGTAAATGATTTAATTATGAATTTATGATTATATTATCTTAAAATGTTTTGTATTTTTCCGGGTTCTTGTCCAATAATGGAGATGGAAGATTTAGTATCAGAGAAATTATTTGATACATTTAGGGAAAAAAAAAAAAAAACCTTATTTGATACATTTTTGTAAAAAAATTAAATAAATAAATAATTATGTATTTTTAAACTTGTACAGTGTATATAGCCAATATAGGATAGGACTATAAAAGCACATTGTGATACATGGTGAATTATTATACCATACTCCCTCTGGCCTGTATTTGCTACCACGGTTATAGTTTTACGAGAATTTATTAGTTGATGATACGAGTACTTGTTAGGTTTATAATAATGTATGTAGTCGTATTTAATATTGATGTGTATGTATATGTGTATTATAAGATGGAATAAGATCGAAATTAATTGATGGCAAGATAATTTCTGTATCGTGTATGATATAATTTATCGAGCTAAAACTATTGTATAAGAATCTTATTTATACGTTGGAAGAAATCGTGATTGATTATATATAAGGGATTTTAAATTTTATATTAATTGATATCATATCATATTAATTACATAGCTGGCTTTCATTCTATATACTTCTATAGCTTACACATCCAGTAAAGTAGGCAACATATCAACCTCCAAATCAGTAATTGAGATTTTAAAGTATGAATTTCTTAGCCAAATCAAATTTCAACCCTTACATTCATTTTATTTGTATACAAACTATATCACTCAAACTTTAAATTAAAATAAATCAAGTTGATGATTCTATAATGGGATAAGCAAAGATAGAAAATTAGTATTATTCATAATAAATACTTCGTATATTATTATAAAAAATGTACCAAGTATATTATATACGAAATAATAAAATAAAAGATAGCTAGAGACCTAGAGTAAAAAGGGGCAGAATTCCAAATACAATAAAATGAAGCATAATAAAACGAGTAGTACACATTGTTTTATTAAGGGGCATAGTAAATACAAGAATGTATTGTACTCCCTCCGTTCCTAAAAGTTGATATTAGAAATATTAATAATAAGAAGAACCTAATAAGATCCCATATACTAATTTATTTATATAGTATAAGTCATTAAATGTAATCAAAGTTATTTTATTTTGACCCTATAAATAATAAGTGAGTCGAACTTTCAGGAACGAAGGTAGTATATTGTATTTGGTGAGAATAAAAGTCGGTATAAATTGATTGAACGTGGGGCATCCTGCGGTAATATGGTCAATAGCTTAAATAGCAACCTTTGAAAACCAAAGATGTCGCCATTTTATACGTCGCATTGCCATGATTTGTGACCTGTTATGTGGACTTTGGTCAATTTGTTACATGATATATACTACAGATGAAGATGCCAATTTAAACAAGGAACGAACAAGTAGGCTTGTCAAAATCCGATCAGACCTAAAATCGACTAAAAAATAATTGATTTTGAACAATTTTTCTGTAACTGAACTCAATTGTTTTTAAACCCGGCCTAAAAACTTGATTTTTAGGAGATTGACCCAATATCATTATATATGAGAACTTATTGCAAGAAAATACCATAAAATAGTTGGTTTTTAATAATGGCTTTTGTTTAATGTATTATGCAATTTGTGCGGTTGGTTTTGGATCAAAATACTCAAGATTAGTTAATATACTCTATAAGTATACTCTATCAAAGTATATATATTACAAATAGTAAATGTTATGATTATTATGAAATTGAAGAAGACGGTTTGGATGGATCCTAATAAAAAGTTAAACACCTTTTACTATGGGATATTTACTTTTTTGTTTAAAAAAATATATCCAAATTAAATGGGTACAAGTAGATTGTATTTGCTGTACTTTATTCGTTGACCAACCATGCTTTGCAGATTAAAAGAAAGCATAAGAAAGTTCTCACAAAAGTCACGTATGAAAACCTCGGGATTAGGCTCCTTAATTACCCTATACTCATAGATTAAGTGTAGATAATAGCTAAGTCAATTTGAGTAATTAGCTTAGCTTTGTGTATGTACGCAATGATAATTATGACTATTACAAGTATTACCTACTGAATTATCTCTGTTAATTACGAAGTACATAACACTATGAGTCTATGATCAAAAGCATGACCAATTGACCATGTGTCCATGTAGTCCCACTCTTTCTATAATGACTTTTTAAAAAAAAAATAAAAAAAATCATTCTCAATCTCTACTTTAATTTACTTTCAAAATTTTAATCAATGATGATCTAGTATTTTCGAGTGTTAGAAATTAAGAGTTTTTCGTGATTTTTATAAAGAGACTCGATAAATTCTCTTCACCAAGAGTAGAGAAACAATCTCCTCTATGTCAAATTGTCAATTACTTATTCACGTACATGTGCCATGGTGCATATGTTTTAAAATGATTCATGCTCATTATTATTCTTTCAGCTTAATGTATGATACTATCTATTAATTGCTTGCTTTTTCATTGTGCCTCCATGTACTTGATTGTATAAAACATTAAATTAGAATCTACTAATATCATTATTATTATACTAAGTATAATAATCAATAACTATATACTAAATGCAAAACCAGGAATGACACATGTCATTTCTTGGTTAAAAATTTTCCTTTCATAAGTTTTTTTTTTTTTTTTCCAAAGCTTCTTAGAGAAGTATTTTGTATTTAATACTTACTATACAATATTATTTCTCTTCCAATTTGGTACAAATATTCCATTTATACACATTCATCAAAGATATTATTCTTTTATACAATGCTATGCAATAATATTTTCCTATCTATAACTTTGTTATGTAATCCATTGTTATTTTATCATGACGTGCATGTACTTCTTCCTCTGTTTTCTTTAGTGTAATATAATTTTTAAAATTTTTTTTTTTATAATTACAGAACTTTTATCCTATTTTGCAATTAGATATAAGTTTTTATAATTAAATAATAGTGTTTAACTAATAATGATAAATATTGACAATAATCATCATTTACTAATTATTTTGATATCAATATAATATAGAATGCAAGTTAATTTTTTTTTGAAAAGAAAATCAAGTCTTTGTTTCAATTAAAAATATTGATTTTTTTAAAAAATATTATTAAATTAACACTATAATTTACGGGACTTAAATTAGTAACACTCTAAAAGTATATACAAACAACTTCGATCTACTTGATCAATATACTAATTAGCTTGTTATTATATCAACCAGCATTAAGAAAAACTCTGAATACTAATAAGTGAAATTGAGAAGCCAAATAAGTCAATACTCAAAATATTTAGGAACTGAAAATACATTGTATTTTATAAACTAGAATAATAGTAAAACTAATAAATTCAATGGGATTTATACCTTGCACACTTCTATGTTACAATTTCAAATTAGAAAAAACAGGCATCTTTCAAGGCTTTAACAAACTAGCACATTATTCCAAATTAAGATACATCTAGTATCAAACCATTCCAAACTAAGATACTACATCAAACTTTCTTTGGAAATAAAAGAAAGGTTGATCACTAAATCACTAGTAAGAATTTTAAGAAAACAAATAACGGTGACAAGATGAGAACAAATTAAAAGTAAACATCTGAATCTTAAATTAATCGGTAAGTTCGTTTAGAAACATTTAATTATTGGATTATCTGAACCTTGTCAAATTTTGGGACCAAGTCCACACACTAATGTACGCACCACGCGTAATCGCATATCACATGTACACATGCCAATTGTATTTCTATAGATTTATAGTAGCAAGATATAAGTATATACACCACACGTCGGCCATTATATATACTCTATCAGCTCATACAACATAAGCGGACAATAATTTAGATGTCGAAAGTATTACTTCCAATGAAATTGAAATTGTTATAGGAAGTGCCAAAAGTAAAACTTTCTATGTTTATTTCAAACATCCAACTCGAGATATTTCTAATTTGCAAAAACTTTATGTCATCTACATAAATCAATTTCTCATCCAAACAATCACTAATTTAATTTGCTCATAAGTTCACAAACTACATATAGTACCACCACACAAACTTTTGTTGTATTTATACCCCCAATAAACTATTTACCAAACAATTACATACAAAAAGTTATACCTATATTTTGTCAAAGTTAGAACACAGCCAATAATAATATAGCGTATCTAGTCAGAGCATGCGAGCACACACTAATTGACATGTGCATGAAGACAGAGTATGGAAGAAAAGGGGAAAAAGGAGGGCACAAATTTAGTTGTGTATAAATATGGCCCAAAAACTTGCTTTTCATCTCTTAAGACAATTTTATTTGGATGACATATTCATGGGTTGCATTTGTCTAATTGGAATATCTTCCAACTTTTAGGCAATTTTTAGCTTTTTGGATGTTTGCTGAATACCTTCTGCAAATTCTTTGACAGTAAACTCTGCTTCAACAGTCTTATGTACTTTATTCATGGGATCCTGTTTTCCAAGAAATAATTATAGATTTTTGAACCTGTATACCTTCGTGTTCAGTGCGTCCTAACTATTTGGTGATAGATCTAAAATAATTCGACTAATTGTCTAACTGTTAGACATCTAACTAAGGCGATTAATTGTCCAACTATTAAGCATCTAACTAAGGCGTAATGTTTTAAGTACAATTTGCTTTATAGGGTAATGCAAGACATTTTGCCCCTTGTTAGTACCGAACTAGTTAGACAACTAGAGCTTTTCATTTAATTTGATATGATATATCTCTCTAAAATTTCACTAAATTTTACTGAATTTCAAGCAGTATAGAATCATACCTTTTTGAGTTTTTGGTTATAGAAATACTTCACACGAAGAAGACACTACTGAAGCAAACTTTCACATTAACTTTCCTGCAAGGCTGCAAGAAAAAAACAGTCTGATATTCATTCAAATCACTTGAGTACTTTAATGGTCTACTTAAGAGGGTTTTTCATTTCACCTTGGCAAGGCTATATTCCCCAAATTTCATCATTCTGTCAGCGATGGCATAAATAAGAATTTTCTATCAGAGGAATTCAAAAATTCAACAAACATTTGCTCATAACATGACTTGTTCACTATTGCTTCACTTGGCATTGATGGTCCTGCAGGAAAGTTCAACGACATAGAATTTGCCAAAAATGTTTCACATCTAAATCGGAAGAACGATGCTAACAAGATCAATTACTAACATACCGCTATGTGACACAAGTAAAACCACTTCGTGATGAAAATACCAGTTCAAAAAAATTATTTTATTGTTTCTGAGGAACCGAATCGATGGTCATCAGAAAGCAAAACCACAGCTCTTCTCGGCTTCTATTGTAAGGTATGGCAGTTATAGTTTACAATCAGCCCCATCTCCTCCGGTCCTCTTCTTCATCAACTGGAGTGTACCATGATGGCCGGCGCTTTGAGTTGCTCAACCTATAATTCAGTAGTATCTCTTCATTGCTAATTGCTCGGGTGGACACAAGAACAAGCGATTTCAGGATGGGAATATCAGAAACACCATGAACAGAACTCCCAGACTTGAACCAGAAACTACCAAACCTCTTCATTCTTACTCCCTCTTCATTTCCGAATGATATATTTGGAATATATGTTCTCATATCCTTCTCATCCAACGGAAAATCATATGGGCAAACCATGACATTTGGAACCACATCCTTCGGTGGATGGTTGGCAAAATGAGCAAAGGCCATTGGATTCCGCCGTTCAAGAATCTCACCACGGGTTCCACTTCTGGGACTCTCCAGAGGCTTGCTCAGCATTTTCCATACCCGATCAGAACCAGTCTGAGCAATCTGCTCAGTAAATTTTGCAGCTTGTGGAGAGTTCATTCCATCCCAAAATTCACGGTTATCATTTCCCTCACCCCAAGGCTGGGCATTTATCACAGTACTATCATACCTAGTGATCAAATAAGAGTTGTGTGCATCAACTCTTGGGTATCCAGGAATAAATCGGTAGTATGCTGGGGAATAGACTACTCCAGGATAAATTGCTATCACGGAACCAACATCAGCTTCACCCTCCAGAAATAGACCTCGGCCAGCATCCTTGTGTGGAATTTCAGAAGATCGAACTGCAAGTGAGTAACCTAGATGATCCTTAACACCCTGACTTACATCAGCCAGCTTTAATGGTTTCGTTTCAGGTATAACTGCACTGAAAATGACCCTATAATTAATTTATCTTGAAACAGACATCCGAGAAACTTCAGATTTGGACAGTTTTGTCCTAGGAAATGGAGTTGAAAAAACAAATGACCATATATGCTCAGCAAGCAACAACGAGCAAACAAGCATATGAAAGAGAAAGAGAGGAAATAAATACTGACTGCCAACTTCCAATGGTTTCCTGGGTTAAATATGGAGGACAACATGATGCACCGCAAGATGGAGCAAATTTTGCAAGGTCCAATTCCCTTGAACAAGATGCTCTACCAAACAAGGAGGACAAAATAGGAAAGAAATTCTAACAATGCCACAAAAACCATTAAATTTTGTAATAGGTGCATAAATAGATATATTATACATTTATATTACCTTATTTTAGTCTTTTGGTTTTTTTTTTTTTTTTTTTTAATTAGTACTTTTACGAGTTTTTATTTATTCATCTTTTGGATCTATATTTTTAGTTTTAGTTTTAGTTTTAGTTTTTGTTAGCAAATTAAATTTCATTGCTATCCAGAGAGTATATACAGACACAAACTCACCAAAACAGCAAAAGAACCTCACTTAGGTTCACAAAATTGCATCATTGTCACCTCCCCACTTTATAGGAAGGGTTGAAGGAGACCCTTCATGTGCACGAAACTAAGCTTACAATAACAACACCAGCCTCATAGCAACTACTTTTAAAAACTATAATTCAAACTGTTACTATTAAAAGTCCTATTAAAGAACGGGTTTGAAATGGTGGAGAATGTGAGAATATCATTGAAAAAATGACTACCAGGTTTGGAATGTGGAGCTCTAGAAGTCTCTTTTGCTGGGAGGGTTAATTTAATTAATGCTGTCCTGATAAATCTCCATGCTTAGTGAACCCCAATTGTGTTGTTGCCTAAAAGTATATTGCAAATCATTAATAAGCTCTGTAGGGATTTTTTCTGGTATGGAAAATTTTTAAGGTTGGCAGATTAAGCATGTAGCTTGGGACTTGGGGCATTTAATCTCATACTGCTCATACTCCTAAATCAGAAGCACTTTTAAGTTGGAATGTTGCAGGGGAAGCATGTTTGGGCTGTAAGCATCAAGCAAGATAAGTGGATAACCAATGGGTCAAGTGGGTGCACTCTGTGTACATCCAAAACCAGAATTGGTTTATAAGCCACCTGTTGGCAGCGGTTGTTACTTGTTAGTCTTGGTACTGGTACAAGATTTGCAGTGTGAGGGGTATATTGATGAGAGCTGATCAGTTAGGACAAGGCAACAGTTATATTGAGCTTCTCTGTCAAAACTCTTCAAGATGCATTTGAGAGTTGAGAAAAGATTGATTGGCAGAGACTAGTTGAGCCAAAACACAGGATCATTGCTTAGGTGGCTTTCCAATTCAAGCTGCCAACAGAGGTTTTGATAAATTCACATTTGGTTAGTAATGAATCCTAAATTTCAGTTATGCCCAGACAGCTGAGGAGCAAGCATAAATTCAATAAAATCAGGAGAGGGCTCTTTCTTTTCTTTTCTTTTCTTTTCTTTTTTTTTTTTTATTTTTTTATTTATTTATTTTTTTTTTTTTTTGTGCAGCCTAGGACTACAAGTCCCAAGGAAGGATTAGAAAGTGAAAGTAAATAATCTCATCACACTAAAGTTAGGGTTAGGGACTAGGGTTGTAGGGATAAAGATTGGTTTGATGTGCGACACTGTAAGACAGTATGTAGCTAGGCTTAAAGTCCTTCCTAGAAAGTTTGATATGCACTAGAAGGCATTATAAATTAGTTTGCGTAGTTAATACAATATCTTACGCTTGCTTACAAGAAATTATATTAATAAAATTACATGATTTACATCCATAGCAAGTTAAAGATTGAAGATATCATTGTATTCAAATATTGGATCAATAAGAGGTAGCATAGGCAGAAGATAAATAGCAATGCTATCAACCATTACTTTTCATATTCAAGAAAGAACAAGCTAATTTCAGGAACCTGAAGGAAAAATTACCAGGATGGTTACTAGGAGAGCTTCCAGTACGGCCAAGAGCAAACCTAAGGCCACTTCGTGGCTGATCCTTATCTATTTGTGCAGCTGATTCAAACCGCTCCTCAGTTTTCTTGGCAGGAAGAAGAATTTCATCCATAAGCGTGCATAAATCTTTTATTTGAGAATGAATATTCTCTTGAACTTGCTTTTGTTGGTCAGCCAAGGAAGCTTTGTTGGCCAAATCAATTATTTCCTCCACATCTGCCTCGTCAGCATCTTTTCCTATGCGGTTATAGCTGCAAGCACAAAACATTCGTGAGCAAATGATTTGATACTTTTGTCTCGAATTCTTCACGGTTGGAGACAATGCTGTTTCAGAACAAAAGGGTCAAATTGAACCCCTCTCCCTCCCCAGTCCCCACCCCTACCCTACTTCCATCCCCTGTAGGTGAATATGTCAGGTAATGCCATATTGTGCATATATTGGGATTAGGATTATACAGTACACATATAGTCAAAGCAAATCCATATCTTGTGATGTAAAATTTTTGGGGTTACGTGACTTGTAGAAGAACTGTGAAAACATTATCAATAGAGATACTTCATTAGATGAATTTCACATTGAATGATAGCATGAAAAACTCACATTGAACATCATCTCTCCTAGATAATGATACTAACTCGATGCATAAAAGACACCACCACTACCCATGGACTATGGAGGGTTGTTTCAGAAACATTCTCGGGGAAAGAACTGCAAAAGCCCAAAGGCTCTAAGAATATCAACCTAGTATGAGTAATAGATTTTTAGCGAGAGAGAGAGAGAGAGAGATAGTTTGTGTTGCATCTCCATCATATATTTTTTTATAGATTACACTAAACCATCTTCTTCTCTAGAAATCTCACGGAAAATCCAAGACACTATGAACTTGTATACCAGTCGATAACTAAATGATTTGGCCCTAAATCCAGATGTGTAAGATTACAAGTCCGTTGACACTCAAAAGACTCTTCATAATCACATGGTAAAGACCATAAAAAAAGATCAATTAGCACTAAGTTGAGATGAATTTTGTTCTACCGCTTCTAGTTCATCTTTGGTTCCATACGACAAACAACCAAGATATTCTAACAATATGTCAGGCCACTCCCATGAATCTTAGATTTAATACAACGAAATGGTGCATCTGTGATTACATCAACTTTTACTACGATACATTTGAGAATTGATCATGGCTAATCATGATTTGACAAATTACTTCCCTTTCTTCATCTACCTCAATACCCCTGCTCTCCAACATCACCAATCGAAGGCTATCATACTAAGGAAATCTTTTCCCAACTGAATATTTGCAAGCCATGACACAAAAACTCACTATTCCAAAATTTATGTTGGAAATTTTCAATCTCATGACCCCGTCAACTAATTTCACATCCCAATCACAGCATAACTTTGTAAAAATTACAGCAAACAAGAAATATCAAGATAAAAAATTCTACAATGTCCCATCAAACACATTTATGACAAATATTCCTTTCGTTCCACGAAACATACGGAGTAACAATCATGTTGATAGTGTAATTTGAACTAGTAAAGCAACAACTAAACCTGGAGAAAAAAGTAAACGATTCAAAACATTGAAACCAACCTGGTATAAAGGAAGAGACGATTAATGTCAGCTTCAAATTGGAGACTCCTAGGATCTTTAGCAAAGGTGGGACTTTTAGCAAGAATTTTTACAGCCTGAAAGTAAAATCAACATAATTCAATGCATCATTCACTAAGCATAAATACAAGAAATTCATCACATTTAACTTAGGGTTAAATCAACAAAAATTATAGGATTAAAACTTGAAATAATTGCAATTATACATACTGAAATTGAAACAATTTCACTTAAATGCAAAAATCTCTAGATTCCATAAATCTTACAAACCCAGCAAAAAAATTTGAGATTGATTGTGAAGTAGCAACTAATGTATGAAACTAATCACAAAATGGTAGAAGATGAAAATGAACAGTATTGAAGCAAATGTAAATGGGTAGAGAGAAAACAAACCTCTTGAAATTTCTGGAATAGAAACGCCATTTTTTATCTGCACTTTTTTTTTGGCGAAAACTCAAAACGCCATTTGTGCAAAATGAGCTCTTTCTTTTTTGGATGGCCAAACAACGAGCTTATAACTACTCGTATATATTGAGTACAACAATATTAAAAGGACGATAAGTTAGAGGCTAGGCACTTAGGCAGTGGCTCACTGGCTCCGTGGCTCAGGCTAGCCTAGTGAACCACTCAACTTGGCGCGGGATAAACATGGTCTGACACGTTTTATTTTTAGATGGCTGCGTCACTGCATGTTATTTTTGGGATTTTTTTTAATGTCAGATCTATAATAGAACAACCTACGGAGTAAGAGGTAGGTTGTGTCATGATTTTGGAGTGGTCGGCTAGCCGACATGAAATGAACGTGATTATCCAAACGATGTCTATTTAACCTCATTCTTCACGGTTTTTCTATTGCGGGCCAGATATTTGGAAGTAGGGAGATAAGGTAAAGGAATTTGTTACCTCACTTGGTAGAATCAAACTTTAGACCTCTAGGATGTAAAGTAAAACTCTTACCAAGTGAGTTAAAACTTTGTTGGTCAAAACCCAAGCCTACATTTTTTTCGGTTGGTCAGAAGGTCGGGCCCTATTATGCAAGAACTTTTCACAAGTTCACCCGACCCAAGTTAACAGACTAGGCTATTTGGGATTGGGGGGAAAGGCAATATGAGGGAATCCCCACCCTAAATAGCTTCTAGTGGAGTTTGATCCTAGTGAAGTACTCCGTACTTTCTATGTTTTTTTAATAATATTGCATCACTTGCCTTTTAAGAAAGTTTCACAAATATTGCATTACTTGTCTTTTAAGAAAATTTCACAAATATTGCATGATTTGCAACACTTGCCTTTTAAGAAAGTTTCACAAATATTGCACTATATTCATTTTAGGGAAAATTATATCTATGTTCAAATTGTTCACAATGGAAATACATAGGTCCTGTTTGGCAAAAGTAGCGGTAGTGGGTAGCTTTTAGCGATCGAGTAGCGGGTAGCTGTTAAGGTAGCAAGTAGCTGTCAATTAGTAGTGGGTAGAGGTTAGCTGTCAAGGTAACGGTTGATAGTATGAGTGTTTGGCAAAAGTAGCGGTTGCAATACTTCAAAATTCATATAAATATTAATTAAAAAGTAATAAAAATTTGTCAAACGCTACCCGCTACTTCTAAACGCTACTATTTTAACGTTTGAAAAAAGCTACCTAAACGCTACCTCTATCGCTAACCGCTACTAGAATCGCTACTTTGCCAAACACTCTGAATTTTTTTTTGGGTAGTGTTTTGACTAGTCAAAACGCTAATCGCTACCTAAAACGCTTCCACCAAACAGCGTCATACTATACCCTTACTTTACAGCACTTGTATTTTTAGTTTATGTTTTACAATCACATGGACAATTTTGTAATTTTACCTTCTCTTTCATCCTTTTTCCACTAGACCAAACCTAATACAAGCCTGCTTAAATAATTTAACTATGTGCTTTTTTGTTATCAATAAATTAGAATTTAAAAGAATGGAAGAAGTGTTATTTTATTTTATTTTATTTATTTGAAAAGAAAGAAGTGTTATTTTGTTTTGGAAGGGGGAGACCGTACAAAAATTTATTCACTGTATTCATATAAAATTATCATACACAACTTACATACAAGTATACAATATATAATTTTACAAATAGTGTGTTTTCTGTGTGGCTAGTGGCCGGGGTTACTTATTCGAAGGTTACTCAGTTAATCAAGGGTTACTTATTTTGGGGTTACTCAGTCGGTTAGCGCGTTTCTGTGTGGCTGGGCACGCCGTGTGGCCGGCTGACACACGCCAAAACATTTAACGGGTAACCCCTGACCGATTGAATAACTCCTGAATACACTACACGAAAAGAGGAAATTGGCAACGGTTCAAACCCCCCAAAGGCAACGGTTTTGAACCGTTGAGTATTTGAGGGTTGCCAAATCCCAAAATAATTGGCAACGGTTCAAAACCGCTGCCAACTCAAGCAACTGGCAACGGTTAACCGTTGCCATTGACCATGGCGCCCTTTTTTTTTGTTTTTAAAAATAATTGGCAACGGTTAACCGTTGCCAATTGCTTGAGTTGGCAACGGTTAACCGTTGCCATTGACCTTGGCGCGCTTTTTTTTTTTTTTTTTTTTTATAAATATTGGCAACGGTTAACCGTTGCCATTGACCTGTATTTTTTTTTTTTGGCTGCAATATTATTAATATTATAATATTAATATTAATAATAATTATTATTAATATTATAATAGTGATAATAATAATAATTATTATGATAATAGTAACAATAATTAGTATTATTAATAACAAAACATAAATAATAATAACAATCGCAAGAGATGATATAAATTAGAAAAATGTTTTATGTATAGTACATAATTAGTAAGCTAATGCTAGGATTGATGTAGTAGCTAGCTAGTAAACAATATTTACAAATTAGATGTGATGTAGGTCGCCAACATCTCCCGAATTACATGGAGTTCCTCGCTCGTGTATGGCTGTCCCGTTTGCCCCTTGCAAAACTTAGAATACACAAAATGTGAGTTAGTAGAAGTGAATTAATAATAATTGGGGTTAGTTAAATGTGACTAATGCTTGAGATTACAAGAAAAGAGCAAGTAAGTGGTTTTGGGACGCAATTTCAACCAAAATGACTCAAGTAAGGCCATTTTGGCTACTAGGATGCCTATTTTCTATAATTCTTGTCTATTGAACTCATATAACTTATTTATTATTATATGATATCTTAGATACAAAAAAAAAAAAAAATCAAAAAAAATAACAGTTAAGACATAGTCATTATCACTGTTAGTTATCATTAGTTATAGGTGACTAATGCTTGAGATTACAAGAAAAGAGCAAGTAAGAGGTTTTGGGACGCAATTTCAACCAAAATGGCCCAAGTAAGGCCATTTTGGCTACTAGGATGCCTATTTTCTATATTTCTTGTCTATTGAACTCATAACTTGTTAAAACATGTCATAATCATTTAGTTATAGGTGCCTAATGCCTGAGATTACAAGAAATGAGCAAGTAAGAGGTTTTGGGACGCAATTTCAACCAAAATGGCCCAAGTAAGGCCATTTTGGCTACTAGGATGACTATTTTCTATATTTCTTGTCTATTGAACTCATAACTTGTTAAAACATGTCATAATCACTTAGTTATAGGTTACTAATGCTTGAGATTACAAGAAAAGAGCAAGTAAGTGGTTTTGGGACGCAATTTCAACCAAAATGGCATACCTCTTCAAGCTGACGTGTGTCTGTACAATGACTCATCACTATGTCATACATGAATCTCATCACGTATAGGCCACAGTCAACTCCGTTTTCCTGTTGTGCGCACTAGCATGAGGAACAAAGCACATGAATCAAAATGCATAGCAAATAAGCAACATCTTAAGCATTGTAAAGTAAGAAAATCACAACATCATGGGTGAATTACCTTGGGTGCTTTCCATGTAGGACCTCAAGGAGATCGAGGATTTATCTTCTTCATGGTAATACAAAAAATCAAAGTAATAAGTTCAAATTTGACTAGTATAATTAATACATATGAGTTAAGATATGAAAATGAATAACAAGAAGTGAAACAAACTAGATGCTTACTTTTGCAGTATGGACCTCACGAGGCGCTTTCTTACTTGAGGTAACCGAGCAGAATCAAAGTAGAAGATTGTGTTACTGGAAACACAAATCACAAGTAGGGTCCAATGATAACTACACACGAGACAAACAAATCAATAGTTAGCCTATTACAACAAATAAACTGGGAAAACAAATGAACTTGACTAGCATAATCAGACGTACTCCTCATAGTATGGGACGAATATAAACTTGTCTCCCGCACTCACTGATTGCCTGATACCCCGTTCAGCATAGTACAACACGTCAGCGGAGTTGCCTAAGATTCTAATAATGGACATCTGCTCAGGGCACAACCACCCAACTTGACAAGGAGATTCAAGCTCCCATATTTGCTCCTGGAGTGCTCTGCATGCATGATAACAAAATGTTAATCGAAAACCAAACGACAAACACCACTAAACTGAATAACATAAATTGAGTACCAGTTGAATTACCTCATGGATATTTGAATGAGGGAAATGTTAAGCATTGCACCACTTAGAAATTCCTTCACATCTTCTTTGAATAGCCATGTCGTTACATCATCATCGTAGTGAAACATTTTCTTAGGAAGTTGGATTTGGATGGGGCTGTCATTAGGCAACACGCAAACACGGTTATGCAAATAAGCTAACTCCTGAGATAGCAATTGAAGCACCGTGTCTTCAACTAATGGAGTAGCTTGCGTAGCTGAACCTTGTGAAGGGCTCTTCATCGACGCTTTTCCACTCACCGAGCCATGTTCACTCCTATTCTTTGGCCCCTCCACCCTCTTCTTTGGAGTTTGGCTTTTCCTCGATGGCTAATAAGACAAATCCACACAAATGGTTAGAAAAGATTTCCATCCAACTCTTGGGAAGAAAAGATTAAAGCGTGAAGTCTAAATCTTAATTACCTGGTTCATCAACTGTATCCAAGCAGATGGCCATTGCACAAAACTACCTTTTGCTGCCCAGAGTGTAGTATAATCATCCTCCTCTACGGGCACAGGTATGAGGATGTCCTCGAACCCGGGAACCACAGAATGGATCCCGACAGAATAATGCTCAGGAAGAAGAGGTCGAAGATGGACCGTACCTTGTTCGGCCGGTTGTGCACTACCATAGGCAACAACATTCTAAGGTCCATCATATGATTCGCCCGGGTGAAGAAGTTCACAACGGGTCTCTTCCTGCACCAATTAGGAATATACTTCATTTAAATATTCATAACTAAATATCTTATGTGTAATATAGGAGTTAATTCAAGCATTGAGCTAAAATCATGAAAAATGGGCAAGTTAGAACTCATTTTGCCCATTTTGAACCATAAATACTCTAAATGAACCTAAAACTTGTGAAGTTGATTTTTTAATGTTGTTTCAAGCCATAAATATTCATAACTAAGTATCTCAGGTGTAATATAGGATTTAATTCAAGCATTGAGCTAAAATCATGAAAAATG